TTCCTTAATTAATCATCTATAAAGGCAATGGTTAAAAGCACAGTTCCTCCAAAATTTAGTATATAAAGGAAACTTCTGATTGCCAGCAATATATCCATTAGTGTGAAAAAAGGATTGGATAATGCAGACTACGTAAGATATTGCTTCTCCTTCTGAAAGGCAATTTGGGAACTATTTCTCTCTTACACTAGCCAATACTCCACCCAGAGTACACAACTGAGGTTAGACATTTCAATAAGAAACGCAAAATTAGACACCAGATTTATAATGGATTCCGATTGTTTAGAATCACACAATTTAAGCACTAAAATGAAAGAGGGGCAAACAATGAAGGGAGGATATGAAAAAAATAAACCAGGTATCTTGAGTTTCTAGGTTCCATCCTTTCCTACTTCTTCCAAAGAATGGAATTTTACCAATTAATATGTAAATATGCTCTAGTACCTCTCATGCATGAAAATGGAAATTTCCATTATGCCTTTCAAACTATCATTCCTATTTCTTTTATCTTTGCCACAGATCTTTTAAAAGTTGTCTCTTTACATCTTACCTTGTACCCCACAAATTGGAATACTGCCTCTATCTATCCTGCTCTTCTCAAACTCTTGTCATGTGGACCACGGACAATCTCTACCCTGCCACATCAGTGGACACACTTATCAATCTTCATTTTGTTCGATCTTTTTATGACATTTGGAAATTCTAACTACTTAACCTATTTTTTTTTAATTTTTTTTTATTTATTTATGATAGTCACAGAGAGAGAGAGAGAGAGAGAGAGAGAGAGAGAGAGAGGCAGAGACACAGGCAGAGGGAGAAGCAGGCTCCATGCACCGGGAGCCCGATATGGGATTCGATCCCGGGTCTCCAGGATCGCGCCCTGAGCCAAAGGCAGGCGCCAAACTGCTGCGCCACCCAGGGATCCCTACTTAACCTATTTTTAAATTCTATCCGGGGACACTGACTTCTGCCTCTCCCACTCTGCTATCCACCATTTGTCAGTTTGTTGGTGAGCACCCGTTTCTCCATCTACCCCTAACGTTTGTATCTCATGGTCCCTCCTGGCATTTGATCTCTCTCACTCTTCTTCTAAGTTGAATGATTTCATTCATTTTCATGGCTCCTACAATCATCGATATGCGGGCATACATATTTTTGGCAGAGTTCCTAATATTCGGATTCAGCCTTGTAAGAAACTTTTTTCTTTTGACTCTTCTAATGCTTCAAACTGACAGTCTCATCCTACCCCTGAGCTGCATCCCATGAAATCAAGTATATCTTATTGTTAAATTCAAGTCGATCATTCAGAAACAAATAGTTCATATAATGATTAAACACCGTTTTAGTAAACAATAGAATTTCCACATCCCTTTATGAAACTAAGAAAATTTTACAAAATAGCCCAAGCCTAGCTAAATATCATATGAAGAACAAACCTTTACCAATTACAAACAAAATTGCGCAAGTCTGTTAAATATTAGCACCTTGAATTTAACAGTACAGTAAATTTATAATTTCTTTAAAAAGACAACTAGAAAAAACATGACCATGTAAATACATTCTCAGTAGTCATTTGATAAAATTCAAAATCCATCCTCAAGCTCAACAGATACAATTGAAAAATCAAACAGATACGATTTAGAATTATAGGTCATCCACTTAGAGCTTATTTTTCCACCAGACAGGTAAATTAACCTTTTCTGGTTCCTAGTTTCACTAATTTTTCAAATGGATCTAGATTGCCTTAAACCCTTGTTTGAAATACATCTCATCCTTCCCTTTTCATAATAGTCTTTATCTTTTAAAGTCACGCATTTAACATAATGTTTTCCCCCACTGGACTGCAACCACCTTGAAGACATGCATGTATGTGTGTGCATGATCAGTTACAGAATTTGTAGGGCCCAATGCAAAGTGAAAATGAAAGTCCCCTTCTCCAAAAATAATCAAGAATTCCAAGACAGTTATAGCAGAGTATTAAACCAAAGAGGGAGCCCTTCCACACAGGTCCCTGTGGAACTACACAGAACACATGAGGCTTTATGAGTATGTGGTATGTCTGTGTGGGCCTGTGTTTGAAATATGTTGTGTATTATGCCTGGAAAATTAAGTCATAGGAACTTCAAAAAATATCCATAGAGGAAAGATAGCTAGCACCCAGATCTCAGATTATAAATAATAGTCATATTAGGTTGGGCAAAAATATTTTGGATAATTAATCAAGAAAATATTTTCAGGTTTACCATTAATTGACTAATTTGACTAAAGATTATAGAACAATTAAAAAGACATTGATTAATCTTTAACAATTCTTCCTTTAAGGAAACATTCCTATCATTTTATTTCAATGTTTTCTATTACATTGCATAAATCATTCTGAGATGTCCTCTCTTCTAATATATATTGGTTGTAATTCACAAACTATGTGCTGTTTTTGTCTCTGTGTCGACTTTTTTGTGCAATTCATTGAGTGTATGAGTCTAACCAGTGAACATTAGAGTGACCACTCCATTTCTCCAATCATAAAACATTAGCATATAAAAATTCATAGAATGTTTAATCCTGTCCATCTGTCTTATAAAAGAAAATGTTCAGCTTATCAGAATATCAACCACTAATTTAAAACCTCATTTGGGAATTCTTTCAAAATGCTATTAATTCCCTCATACACAGAAAAATACTAACTTGAAGGAGTTAGAATGTATCCCTTTTCATATACCAATAAAAATCCTAAATGCTTTATGAATAGTTTTTCCCAAGAGATTCTTCACATTTGGGGTCAAAGTTTAGGGTGGAATTTATATGTCTTCTCCTTGACTTATTCACAAGCCCTTATTCTGCTAGGTTTTATTTATAGTGACTTCATGAAAAAGGAAGATGAATTTTCTCTTAAGGAGGTTATTGATGGATGTTCTTTTATCTGTCCTTGAAAAGTATTTAAAAAAAAAAAGATGCAGGCTATATGCAATTACATACCTCAATGCTGCTGTCAGGGATTTTAAATTAATAAATAACCAATCTAAGTGTGTTTAGTTACAGAATTCATTTTTAATAGTCACTCCATCCTCGTTTCTCCACTCCCCACCTCTCACTCTAGGCTCCAGTCAAATGGAAATATTTGGTGTTTCCCATCCCATTCTGTCTCCTGTCCTCATTTGCTTCCCTCCTCCTTCTCCTCTTTCCTTGTATTTTCCTTCAGCCTTTGCATATTTTCTTTTCATGCATATGCTCATTCATGCATTCTCATACAGTTGTTCTCTCTCATTCTGTCACTCAACAATACTTTCTGAATGCCTGTGTGCTGGATATTGTTCAAAGTGGACAGAGGCTTGGCTGGGCCACAGGGAAGAAAAAGGCCAGAGCGGAGTGAGTTGTGTCCCAGAGGGGATCAGAGAATGTAGTAGCCCCCAGAGCATACAGGACAACCTCGAAAGCTTAGTGTACAGTGGGAAGTGGCCAGAGGCCGGTCCCAGAAGGTGACATTGTGTAAATCAAATATCCTGCTGCTATGGAGAGAGTGAAGGGGTCCTAAGCAAGAGTGAAAGCTGGAAGATCCCCTAGACAGCAGGACCTTAACGGTTTCCCCATGGGCAGTTCACAGAGTGAACGGCTTGGATTCAGGACTTCTTTTAGAGGTAAAGTTGACAAGACTTGCCTAAGGATTCCATGTAAGAAGTGAGACCAAAAAAAGGAATCAGAATGGGAGATCTAAGCTTCAGACTTGAGCAACTCCGTCTCACTCAGTGTTATTCTCTATTTCTTCCTCTGTCCTTTCTTTTCCTCTTTCCTTTGTTCACACTATAACAGAATCTGGAATGTTCACATCCTAGGTCAGTTCCTGCTTAAGTCTCAATTTAGAAGTCAGAAACTCCAGGAAGCTTTCCTGAGGTCCCCCACAGTGGGGCAAAGACACGCCCACATGATTCCTGACCCTGTTTCCCTTCGGGGCATCAATTTCCACATTATTCACAAAGACAACTAACACAGAGGCTGCAAGCATGAACTCCAGAGCCAGGATACAGCTAGCAGGTTTGCCTCTAAGTTCTGCTACTAACTAGCGAAGTGAACTAGGGCAAGTTACTTTAGGAAGTCGCAGTTCCCACATCTGTGAAGCGCAGATAAGAAAATTGTCTACTCTTAGAAAATTTTGGGTGACAGGATACACATAAAATGCTCAGCATAATACTAGTATAGAGTAAATGCTGGATAAATGACAGCCATTATCACCATCACTGTTACTACTTTACCTACCTTCTTTTAAGCAGGGTTCCTGCAGAATATCCGAAAGCAAATTCAAACAGGAAATACTAAAATCATTCAGCCTTAGGGGAAAAAAAAATAACTCCTCAGTAAAACACAGCAAAAACGTCTAGTACGACTTCATTGGCCAATGCAGATAAATGCATAGATGGGAGTCATGGTTGTGAACTCTTTATTCGAGTCAGTCTCCAATTCCTCCCCCTAACGTGGGCTTTGATTTCTGGATTCCACTCACCAGATTTGATGCACCCACAGGATTACTTTTCTTTGAGGTCTCACCTGGGCAGGTGCATCTACAAAACACAGGGCAGAAAGAGACTGATTACTGAGGTTGAGGGGCTGAGGGCGTGACCCTTTTAATCTTTCTTTACTTCCCCTTCTCTCTCTCTCTCTCTCTCTCTCTCTCTCTCTCAAGGCGCTTGGCATCGTCCACTACATCCGTGGCGAGAGCTGTGACGCCTCCTTGGTGGCGTAGGCTTGCAATCGCCCGGCTTTCACCCAACACGTTTGTGGCTTCCGCGGACAGATCGGCAACCAGTGCTTCTAGATCCCAAGGCGCCCGGCTTCGCCAAGACGGTTAGAGGTCATTTGGAAAGTCTCTCGCCCGGAATAGTCCCCATTCACAAGGCCGGCTCCTTTCCCCCCCGTGGCGCTTTGGAAACTCGCGCCCTCCTCTGGTGCCGGTTCAGGTGCGCAGGGAGAGCCCGGGGAGCGCGCAGGTGCGCAAGAGAGGTGGGGGCGGTGCAGGCACCCCCGGGGCTGCGGGTGGTGAACCCGGAGACCGAACCTGCAGACCCAGCGCAAAGTAGAAACTGAAAGTACGTTGCCGGCCGGATCGTACGGAAGTTATGGGAAAGGCAGAGCGCGGAGCCGGGCCGTGGTGTGTGCCGCCCCCCTGGGGATGGATGAAGCAGCAGGCGCGGCGAGGCTGAGAGGACCCGGCGGCAGAGAGCGCCCGAGCCGGCGCCCACTCCCAGCAACTCCGCGGGGCGCCAGGGCCCCGGCGGCGACCATGGGCGGTGAGAGCGTGCTCCTGCTGCAGTGGCGGTCATCATGACCTCGCCCGCCTCCCGCAGACCATGTTCCATGGTAAGCGCTCCGCTCCCGGGCGCAGCCGGCCGGGGGCCTCGGGGACGCGGCCCCGGGCGCGCGCGGGCACAGCCCGGCCTCGCACTTTGGACCCGCCGAGGGCGCGGGCGCGGGCGCTCCCCCCCGCAGGCGCCGCCGCGCCCCGAGCCCGGGCCCGCAGCCACCTGCCCCGGCGGCGCAGCCCCCGCGGGGGCTCCGAGCGCTGCAGCCTCCGCGCCGCTCGGCGGCGGCCGCCCGCAGCCCCTGCGCCCCAGCGCTCGCGGCGCCCGGGGCGGGGCCAGGTACCTGCGCCCGGGGGGTCCCTCCTGTCGACAGAAGTGAAAGCGAAGCTCCCACGGGACGCGCTTTTAAGCCCGGGGTGGGGTGGAGGTGGGGGGGGGACGGGTCTCTGGGGAACCCCGCTTCGCCCCCTCGGGGAGGCTGGGAGTTTCCGACCGGGGGCCGTACCTGGTGCCCCGGGCTGGCGCCGAGGGAGACGAGTTTGGGGGTTTGGGGTGGTTTCCCCGCTGCGGGTGCCCCGTGGCGGAGGCCGGGTTCAACACGCTTAAGGCTGAGCTCTAGAGCCGCGCCGCGCGCTAGGGTGCTGCGTCCGTGCGGACCCGGGACCCGGGGTAGGAGGGGCGCGGGGCGCGGGGGGCGCGGGGCCACGGCGAGGGGAGGCGAGGAAGGGAGCACGGGAGCTGCGGGGGCGCACTGCGGAGCGGGACTGGACTGTCTTATACCAGATACTTCCTCAAGCAAAAAGAAAAAAAAAAGAGACAGGACGGGTGGAGGAGGGTGCGGGAGGAGGGAGCACGGGGCTCTTCCCTCTCACGCCCCGGCCGTGCGCTTTCTAGGCGACACCGTTAGCTCAAAAGAGCCTTTCCTCTCTCATAGTTAGTAAAGGATCTTGAATTGGCATCGCCCAGAAGTACTAGGTCAGCGGCGACATAATGGCAGTGGGGTGGGGTGGGGTGGGGTGGGGTGGGTAGAGGATGGAAGACAGTTATGGAAAAGGATTGGCTATGGGGGCCCTCCAGTAGCTTACTACAGAATTGGAGGTTAGGTGTGTCCCCATCAGCCTCACGATGCCATGGATCTCCTGCGTTTCGTTCTTTCCCTGTAGCTCTTGCTTCTAATTCCTGCATCATCTCCGATTTGAGTGAAGAGGTAAAAAAGAAAGAAAAGAAAAGAAAAGAAGGAAGAGGAAGGAAGGAAGGAAGGAAGGAAGGAAGGAAGGAAGGAGAAGAAGAAGAAGGAAAGGAAAGGAAGGAAGGAAGGAAGGAAGGAAGGAAGGAAGGAAGGAAGGAAGGAAGGAAGGAAGGAAGGAAAAGGGAAGCTCGGGTGTGCATTAACAAAGAGCTTTATTTCTTGAAGTGTATCTATGTAACTCATTTACCGAAAGTTGTTATTAGCAAGCAAAATATTTGAAGTCTCCACTTTGGATAATAATGATTACAACGTGTGGCTTTTGCATTTTGTTCCAAGAGATTTCACAAGAAGCTTAAGGATAGAGTTCCTCTCTCAACTTTTTCTTTGCTGCTGCTTTGGAGAGTTGAAGGAGCTGAGGCCCTACTAGGTGGTACTCAAGGGTGCTATCTAGTTTAGGTAATTTAATCATATTTGAGGACTAAAAATGGAATGGTAGGAAGAACAGGGCACTGAGAAAGATGAGAAAGGCTGAACAGGTACAAAGGAAAGTCACACATGGTACCACATAAGTGTTTCAGTATCTTCAATAAAAATGGAAAAAGCTATTGTCTAGGAACAATTTATATGTCGCACTCACACTTATGCACACGAGATTATTTTTTCTGATCTTACCTATGACACATAACCTGGTGTAGTAAGAGCAAATATTTAGTATCTGCTTTTCTGAAATGAGTGTATGTATGGTGCAGTGTTTCAGAGCTTGGCCAGGAAGCACCTTAGCAAAGTTCATGTGGAAAAAAGATGGGTTTTTGTACATTCCTTTGACTCCGTGCACACACACACACACACACAATTGTTTTTGGAGGAAGCACTGCAGCTCAGTGGCTAAAAGCTGACTTTCTAAACTTTTTAACCTGTCTCTTACTATACATATTATATATGGGGAAAGTCTCTTTCTTTGTTCCTTAGATTCTCTATTTGCAGAACTGTGAATAATGGGTAGTACTTATCTCGTGAAGTGGTTGTAAGATTAAGTGAAATATTGTATGCAATATCATAGGATGGCTGCAGAAATGTCTTTAAGTGTTTATCATGGGATTTGTGGAGAGTTTACAGTGCAGTATTACTATTGATTGTGGCAGATACTAGATTTCTTTATATGAGGATAATCAAATTTATGTTTGTAACCTTAAGGAGCGACTTCCATACAACCTATGGTTGTTTTCTGCTTATTAACTTTCTTTTTCTTTATGCACCAATTTGCTTGTGCCAGTTGTTTGTATTAAAGCCAAGTCGCATATATTCAGATAATGTGTTCTGTTCCATCCTGAGTGTCTCTTGAGTATTTTTTTTAATTCCCAGTGAAAATGGGTCTATGAAATGTTTATAATGGATATTCAGTAAGCACTTAGGGGTCCTTAAAATGATGAAAGATTGGATTTGTTAGACTGTAGAAACTAATTTATTTATGTTCACTTTGACCCCATAACTGATGCATTTGAGGATTGAGTGTATTATTTGGCTTAAATTAAAAACCAGCAAGAATTTTTTAGACAGCCATCTTTCTGGTTTAACCAAATTCCCTACTGAAAACAAATTCTCCACTTTCAATCCCTTCAGGAAATCTAAAGACAAAATTCCACAAGCCCAAGCTTGCCTTGCATTATTCCTTATGGTTTGTCTTTTCTGCAACCTACAGAAAAGTTCAGGGTCAGGGAAGGGGCAAGTGTCTATGCATAATCTGAAACAAAACAAAAGGGAATAAAAGCAGAGTTTTTTTTTCCTATTGTGACAACAATGTCAAAAGCATGCTCAAACTAGGCAATATTAATATGGTGTGGAGAAAAGATTTCAATTGCAGACTAAACTGCAGTTGTTGATTTGAGAAGCGAGAACCTGCAAGATGTATGTCTGAAGTCCTGGGTATGTTTGCAGTATTATCCAAGAGGTGATTTAAAGTCTAAAGAAATATTTTATTGGGATGGCCAGGGAGATTCTTAGAATTTAGGTGCTTGAAAGTTGAAAGGGACATTAAGAGCATTTAGTCTAAAGTTTTTATTTTACAGATCAGTCAAATGAAGCTTAAAGGACACCGTCACTCATTCACTCAGTCACACCACCCATTGTCATATGGCTCCTTGTCATATACCAAGACAAAAACCCCAAGTCTCCATCCTCCAACCTTCTGTGTTTTATATTGCCCTAGTCCATCTGGAGCTAACCTATTTAACAATAGTGGCAACACAAGACGCTCTTACAGACAAAGCAAATTATGTTTCATTTTTTAAAAGAATTTTAAAAGAATTTCATTTTTTTATTTAGAGAGAGCACACAAGAGGGGGGAGAGGCAGAGGAAGGGGGAGAAAGAGAATCCCAAGCAGGCTCCACATTCAGAGCCTGATCTATCTCACGACACTGTGAGATCATGACCTGAGCCAAAATCAAGAGTCATATGCTTAACTGAATGAGCCACCTAGGCGCCCTAAGGCAAATTATGTTTCAGAACTGAGAAACTAGTTGTAATACATTTAAAAAAGATCAAGTTGGGACACCTGGGTGGCTTAATGGTTAAGCGTCTACCTTTGGCTCAGGGTGTGATCCTGGGTTCTCAGGATTGAGTCCCACATTGGATTCACTGCATGGAGCCTGCTTCTCCCTCTGCCTGTTCCTGTGCCTCTCTCTCTCTCTCTCTCTTCTCTCTCTCTGTCTCTCATGAATAAATAAATAAAACCTTTAAAAAAAAAAGATTAACTTTTTCTACTAAACCATCATTGAAAGCACCGGTAAATGCTGTTCAGTGAATAAATGGGTCAATATGAACTTGAGGAGCACTAATTGCTGAAAATTGGGGTGAAGAGGACACAACAGCTGCAGTAGAAAATAAACTCCTTTGTCAAAACCTAAAAGGTGGACCTTTAAAATAATATTTATGTAGAATAGTAAAAATGTCCCTTTTTTCATTCTAGTATTTAATCATTTTATTATATTCCCCTTAAAACTCATTTCAAGTTATATGTTGTACAACTTCTTGTCTACTCTTTCCAAAGTGTACCTTTTGGACACCTGTAGGAAGACAAAAAGTGAAGTTTGGATCTATGCAGTCTATACCAATCTAATTACAAAGTCAGGATCTAGTAAATAAATAGCAATTGACTATTGACTGAGAATCTTCAGGATGAAGGAACAGTAGTACACGAGAAAGGCAGAGCTATGTAATATTACCTAGAAGTGGTTTCATTCAGAGAACTAACATAATTACATGTTATCAAAAGATTATGGCCATTTCTGATCAAATCCTGGTGAGACAGTAAACTTAGGTTAGAATCCAGACCTAGCACCTACTCTCTGGGTTCTTTTGAGAGATTAATTTGTAGGACTCTTTTCATCTTTACAGATAACTATAAGGCAACAAAGTGCTAGGCACATGACAGGTACTTGAACATAACTATCATCATCACCATTATTAATTTCCTAAGTGAATTCTGCTGGTATGCATATAGAAGACACTCAGTGGCAGAGCTGTGAATCAATTCCATGTCTCATTTTGTTCCTCTTACCTTGTCAAGTATCTGTGATATATGAAGATGAGATGTAGGATTCATATTTATTCTCATACCTGCTATTAAAGCTACTTTCTCTATTTGTCAAAATATGCGGCACAAATAGCACATCATTTATTGGGGAGTACTATTGATTTGTATACGACACATAGTGATACAATAGGTGATAATGTTCTTAGGAACTTTGACATATGTCACAATATTAGCTCCTTGGGTTCCAAAGAGTATTGTTTGTAGTCCTAATCAGAAAAGATATACATGTGAAATGTCTTATACTCATCAAGTACAGTTAAACTTTATATGGGAAATTAAAAGGAAATACATTGTCAACGTAACTCAAGAGTTTGCAGAAAGATGTAAACGACATTTTGGCAGACTTATGAAGAAATAAGTCTCTCTAATAACCACATTTTAATGTCTCTGGGAATAGCTGGCTTTCCATCAGTGCATTATTACTGCCCCAATGATACCATTTATGATTTCATTCCTTCTGATTAGACAATTGCTCCTGTCTAGGAAGGCTTATCAAAAACAGAAATAAATCATTAGTTAACAGGATGTTAACTAATGAATAAATTTATTTAATGGGTTTTTCTAACATGTCAAGAAGCAGGACAGCTGTGTTGTAGAAAATATGGGTCTCTGGGCACTCCAGAAACAAAGAATATACTGAAAAGATAAAGTGTCAAAATGTAAATGTCACCTTTGGCACCTTTGCCAAATGTCGCCTTTGGCAGTTCTGGGAAGGGTAAACCCTTTCAGGTCCATCATTAAAAAGAAAGAATGTAATCATAGTACAGTACCATGGAAATAAATGTGCAATGCTGCTTCTAGGAAGAGGCTGGGTACTTGGACAATAATCAAGATTTACGCAAATATACATGCCATAAACGATAAAATTTCAAAAATTGGTAACTTTCTTTTATCTGTAATTTACCTGTTTACCTGTAGATGCCTTTTCTTGTAGAAATGTTCTACATAAACCAAAATTGAATAAACTGATTTATGCCCTAGAGTGTTTTTCAGAGGCAGAGAGACTCTGCTTTCCTCACACCTGTATGGTGCTTTTCCGAAGAATAATTTTTAAATAAAAAGGTGGAAGAAATCTAAACTCTAAAATGCCATCCTACTTTGGTTGTTCCATAATGCTGGATTTTAGGGTTCTTTCCACACTATCCTAAAGCTGAGATCCATTTAAAAATATTGTTAGGAATAAATCATCAGGCCAATTGAAACAACACGAAGTATATAATATAATGTGACTTACAAAATTCAGCTTATTCTTACTCACTGTTCAATTTAGTTTCTTTTAGGTATATCTTTGGAATTCCTCCCCTGATCCTTGTTCTGTTGCCAGTAGCATCTTCTGATTGTGATATTGAAGGCAAAGACGGCAGAGAGTATCAGCACGTTCTAATGATCAGCATCAATGACTTGGTATGTGCTTGTTTGTTTTCCTCACATTCTAACAGTTTCATATTCAAATATCCATCTATATTCCTTGAAAGAAAGTGAAAAAACTAAGGAGCAACATTTAATAAGCTACTAACTACATATTTTTATAGCCGGCATCATTTATATCCTTTTAAAGTCATTCTTTAGTCTTCAGATTCCCACAACTATCCATTTCAGCTTAGTTCCCCTTCACTACCACATTTCTTGAAAGCATAATTTAGCATAACTACCTGCATTTCCTCACTTCCTGCTGACAGTCCCTGTAGAGAGGGAAAATAGCAGAATACACATTAAGAAAAACTATCATGAAAAGAGATGTGTAGTTATTTCATCTGAATGCTTGTATATGTATATATATTATATAGGAATTTTATACACATGTATGTATATAATTTGCTGTAAATTAATTTTTTAATTTACTGTGGACATTTTTTACAATATATTTTGTATTTTAGAGCAGTCTTAAGTTCACAGAAATGTTAAGCAGAAAATAGAGAATTATTGTATAGCCACTCTTCCTCTGTACAATTTCCCCTGTTATTAACATCTTGCATTTGTGTGGTACATTTATTAAACTGATGAACCAATATTGATACAATATTATTAATTAAGATCCATAGTTGACGTCAGGGTTCATCTTTTGTGTTATGTAGTTCTATGGATTTTAACAAATGCAGTGTTATGTATCCACCTTTACAGTGTCATACAGAATAGTTTCACTGCCCTTAAAAATCCTTTGTGGTCCGCTTATTTAACCAATCTGTTTATGGACTCTATAGTTTTTACTTTCTAGAATGTCACATAGTTGGAATCATGCAGGATGTAGCTTTTTTAGACTGGATTCTTTCACTTGGCAATGTATATTTAAGGTTCCTCCATGATTTTTTTAATAGCTTAAAAATGGGCTTAATAGCTCATTTCTTTTATTGCTGAATAAGATTCCACTGAATGGATGGAAAACAGTTTTTTTTTCCATTCACTGATTGAAGGACATGTCTCGGTTGTTTCTCATTTTTGGCAATTATGAATAAAGCTTCTATAAGCTTTCATGTGCAGGATTCTGTATGGATATACATTTTCAACTCATTTGGATAAATATCTAGGAAAGTGATTGCAGGATCATATGGTAAGACTATGTTCAGTTTTATATAAAACTGTCAAAGTGTCTTCCAAAATGACCATACCATTTTGCATTTTCACCAGTAGTGGATGAGACACCCCCCACCCCAATGCCTCACATTCTCACCAGTATTTGGTGTTGTCCGTATTTTGAATTTTAGCCATTCTAATAGGTGTGTCATGGCATCTTATTGTTTTAATCCACAATTCCCTAATGTCTTCAGAAGTTGAACATCTTTTCGTATACTTTATTGCCATCTGTATATCTTGATCAGTGAGGTATCTGAATTCATGTTTAAGCTGACATCTTAACTATTAAGTCTTTTTATAGTGAAATATCTTTTTCATTTGTTTAGATCTTTCGTTGGCTTCTTTCATCTGTTTAATATTTTTCCTTATATAGAGCCTGTTTACAGTATCTTTTTTTTAAAAAAAAAGATTTTATTTATTTATTCATGAGAGACACAGAGAAAGAGGCAGAGATATAGGGAGAGGGAGAAGCAGGCTCTGTGGGGAGACTGATTTGGGACTCGATCCCACGACCCTGGAGATCACAACCTGAGCCAAAGGCAGATGCTCAACCACTGAGCCACCCAGGTATCCCATGTTTACATTTTACATTTTCTTAAATCTGTACCTAGGGTGCTATCGTAGTGTTTTGAATTTCAATTCCAGTTGTTCATTGCAGATACAAAGGTAAGCAATTGACTTTTGTTTTGTATATTAACCTTGTATCCTGAAACTTTACTATAATTACTTATTAGTTCCAAGAGGTGTTGTTGTTGACCATTTGGGATTTTCTACACAATTATGTCACCAACAAAAATAATTTTTTTAGCATTTAAGAATTGAACCAACATAATGGGATGTGTTGATTTAAATATTTAAAAGATAATTCTTGAAGGCCCAAGTGGCAAAGGAAAACCCTCTCAAATGTTCATAAGATGAAGGAAATGATCTAATTTGTCCCCTTCTGCCATTCCACTATCATCTTTTCCACATACTTATACTGAAGTGACATGACTTTTTGGGAAATTCACTGTTCTACCTCTTGAAAAGATGTGGGAAATTCAAGATAATACAGCACAGGGACCATAGAGGTCCCTGATTTTGCCCATTGACAAGGAGAGAAGTGTACATTAAATGATAATTATCTGGTTTTGCATTTCATGAAGTTTTGACCTTTGACATTTTCTGCATTAATTAATGCTACTAAGTTAATGTTTTTGAGTCAAGATAATGCTTTTATTTAATTTTATTATCTGTGAAAGGAATCAACTAAAATTAATCCTATTATATTTATAAATGTGTGTAAAACTGCAAAAAAAATGCTATTGGCAATCCAAAAGGAGAGTTTTGTCTACCAGATTCATAGCACATTTTTTATGGAAATGTAGAGTAGTTTCTCTCATTAAAATGCACGGCAACAACAAGAACAACAGCAGTAACAATGATACTGCTTTGACAAAGCAAAAGAGGGGCACTTGGGTAGCACAGTTGGTTGAGTGGCCGACTCTTGGTTTCGGCTCAGGTCCTGATCTCAGTGTTGTGAGAACAAGCCCAGAGCCTGCTCAACTCCCTCTCCTTCTCCCTCTGTCTCCATTTCCACTCTCATTCCTTCTGTCTCTGTCAAATAAATAAATAAATAAATAAATAAATAAATAAATACATACATACATACATACATAAATCTTTAAAAAAAAACAAAGCAAAACATGGCTATTCTTCTTAAGAGACTATTCACAAGACATCGAAGAGTATGGGAGGAAGAGTATATGAACTAATCCAAGTGAAAAGTGTTATGATAATCTCAAGAAAGTTGAGAGGATAAGTAACGAGGAAGGAGAAGTCACAAAGAATTATTCATATCAAAATGACTAGCAGAGAAAATTTCATTCACTTATTCATTTCGCATGTACTAGATGCTTTACAGACATTATTGTGTTTGAGTCTCAGGGAGACAATCGGAATGCTAATATCTATGAAGTGCTTGCTTTGTTTTAGGTGCTAGCCAAATAGACTTTCACAGTATGCCTACAAGAGAGGTACTCTTATTACTTTTATTTCAGAGGAAGAATCCGAGGCTTGTGGCTGGCCAGTTTATAAGTGGCGGAACCTGGATATATATGAGCCTCTGCTGTTAACCAGCACACTCTCCTGACTCTTGATAGCAATATCTGTGTTCGTTTATGCATGAAGCAAACATCTGTTCGGAGCCTGTTATCACAGAAAACCCTTTTGTGTGGTGAAGTGGTGGGGCTTCAGGGTAGATATGACAGACTAGGTATAGACCCTTCTTTAAAGAAGCTTTTATTTAGTGATGGTTAAGTTTTGGTGTGAAGTATGTAAGTTGCAGCATGAAAAGGAGTAGCTGCCATACTGTCATCTGAAACAGACTGGTTGCAGACTAGATTTGGGAACAGAAAGATATAAGCTGTGTTCTAGGAGAAGCTGAACAGATTGGCTTGGCGCTAGGAGGGAGACCATGTTGCAGGATAGTACTCTGATCTCCAGGCTTCTGACAGTATACTCTTCAGTAAAAATTTTGTGAGCCTGCACTTCCAATATACATGAAGCATTTATTTACATATTAGAGTATTTCATAGTATTTTTTCATACATTAAAAAAGATATATAAAACAAGAGAATTCACGAAAGATCAGATAAACACTACATGTAGATAGAATTCTAAAGTTTTCCTCGCATACTTGGCAGTGGATTGTCCATTGTGACTCCATTTTCAAGACCAGTGATAGAATAGAAGACATAAGTGGATCTATACTTTATAGCAAGATTGAGAGTGGTCTTGATGCAATGATATTTAGACTTTATTCTCAGCAAAACCAAAAGTCCATAGTAATTTGATCATAAAGGTACCATTTAATTAAAATATTAATTTTTGAGTATTTATTATGTGCAATGTAGGCCACTAAAAAATTAATAGTCGATCTTCTTCTATACTCTATAAGGGCGCTGGATACACATGCCACTATAATACAAAGTGACAATAGCAGTGCATTACAAAAAGTTTCACATAGGGAAGGCTGGGTGCCTCAGTGGTTGAGCGTCTGCCTTCGGGCCAGGGTGTGATCCTGGAGACCCGGGATCAAGTCCTGCATCGGGCTCTCTAGGCATGGAGCCTACCTCTCTCTCTCTGCCTGTGTCTCTGCCTCTCTCTGTATGAGTCTCTCATAAATAAATAAAATCTTTAAAAAAAAGTTTCACATACATTATCTTTTTTGAGCTTCACAATACCCTATGAGATGATGATGATAATAATAACTAGGACAAAATCAAGGTGTACAATGGGCCAATGCTTTTGTGAACACATTCCATGTATTAACTTATGTAATTCCTACAACAACTCTATGAAATGAGGAAACTGAGACCACCTAGCTGGCAAGTGGTAATACTGGAAATCAAATTCTAGAAAATATGCTCATTATTATGAGGAAAAACAGGGTAAAGCACTGCTAATTTTTTTCACTATTTCAGGTCCCTTGCCATTTCATATGAATTTTAGAATCAGCTTCCAGTTCTTAGGAAGAAGTCAGTTGGGATTCTAATAGGAAATTTGTTGTACCTGTAGATAAATGGAGGGGTATTATCTTTTCAACAATGCATAACAATGCTTCTGATCCATGAACACATGAACATGGGATTTTTTACATTTATTCAGATCTTTTTAAATTTCTTCTAACAAATATTTTGTGTTTTTCAGACTATAAACTTTGAATTCTTTTGGTTAAATGTATTCCTAAGTATCTTATGTGTCTTTGATGCTGTTGTAAATTGGATTTTCTTAATTTTATTTTTAAATTGTCTGTGATTCTTAACCCTATACTCCTTCTACTTACCTAGGTT